CCGGTCTAGATGGGAAAATCTAGACCGCGGTCAATATCGATTTCAGCCAATCAAATTCGTGCATTCGGTATTTCCCAGTCCTTGTGAGACACAGCCATATAATAACATGCCTTAGCAAATCTTGGAGGAAACGTTAAATTGTACATTTGAACGGAACATTTGTAATTATTAAACAAGGGCAATTTTCGCCGCTTACTCAAATGCATCACAGAATTCGAATGCCTCACTTACATATACCTCAGTGCATATTGCAGACAGCTGTAATTGTTACCCAGATATTTCAATTGTTTACGTGGCTAATCTAATACTGAGTTACCCACCAGTCCCTCCAGTCTCGCGACGTTTTTGTTGCACAACAAACGCAGTTGCACGAAGTAGAATCATGTTCCATAGCCAAAGCTTGCGGCAACAGCTCAAATAATTTTTTATAAGTTTCCTAGGGATTTAACACTAAGCAACGTTTTCTGCGCGTGTGTTATAACAGCATTGGCGAACCAAGGTCATGAAACATTGCCTACTGTAAGAGCAGTGTGACGCATAATTCAGACACATTTTATCTTTTTCTCACTTACCTAAATTGATATACTCCAGGCATCTGTATTTGACTTCCAGATATTTGTACGTTCCTTGACATGTAACTCACAACTGGTTTTGCCGTTACACTTATCCTGCACGCGTGTTAGAGAATTGCTGGAACGACAGTTTATGTTGTTCGTTTCCTGATGAGGACACGTATGCTGGTTCAGCCTGCCATAGTTCGCGTTCAGCACTTCGATTATTTTTCTGTTTGGGCAGCTTATTATTCCTTCTTGTTTCTCACAAATTATAACGGATCGTGGCTTAACTGCAGAAAATAAGAGAAGCAGGAGAAAGGAAAAAAGAAGACATTTAAGTGTCATTATCTTGGAAATATCACATCCTTTTTTCCGGTCTGGTATTTCATCAAATATTGGAGTCATTTTAATTCAAAACTAAGGCATTATCTTTCTATTAGTCAACTTAAGCAACTTTACTATAACCTAGTCTACCCTTATCTATCATATTTTAGAAAACAATCCTGAGAAAATACACGCGCTGATTGGTTAAAAATCGTGTTTCTATTAAACAATTAGATTATTGGCTTTCGATTTCTATCGCGCGATAGTTGACAAGAGCCCAGTCCGAGTCAACTAACATACGATAGAAATCGAGAGCGAATAATCTAATTGTCTTAGTATAAATCTACTAGTCGTTTAAAACCTTATCTAAATCCTCTTCACAGACACTTCGAAAACGCCAGGAAGCGGCCTTCATTTTGTTAGTAAGGGCGCACTGCTACGCTACCAACTATCTATCACAGAATAGATGTGAGTAGCGTAGCCAATCAGAGACCGGCATTCATGATAGAACGCTAGTAGATTTATACTAATTAACAAATAAAGAAGCCTCGACTGTCCTCTGTTCTGTTGTAAAGCACGCAGGAAGTGGTAGAGCACGAAAGAGGTGTAGGGGAAAACACGAGACGAAGTCGAGTGTTTTTCCCCACTTCTTGAGTGCTCTACTGCTTCCTAAG